CCAGCCATAAGGATGATTGTACAAGTTGTACTCCATGTTCCAAATAAGTTAAAATCCATTCATGCATAAAATTGGCACAAGTGTTCAAAAATATAATTTTGGTTTCATATATCATGAATTGCTTTGTATCATACTATGGAACTGCATTTCCCAGATTCTCAAGTTCTATTTGTGCATGCTTGTGTGCATGCACAAGTTTCATCCCCAGGCTCTAGCTTAAAAAAAAAAACATGGGTTTGAAATAATCAAATAAGAAATGTACCTGTATTGTACTCATGAGGTTGGAGCTGTTTTGCTCGCGCCTTATCAACCAACTCCTTCCACTTTCTTGATAATGAATATATATCTATCTGTGAACAACGTTTAATGAGAAACAATTTTTAGTGTACCATGTCACTAGAGAAAGGCAATTACACAAAAAATGTAATAGTCCGATCATAAAATTGAAAACGTTGGGCTGGGACTCACTTTGTCAGCATCTTGAAGCACCGGTGTAATCAAACCACCATCAATGGCAACAGCAACCGCAATGTTGATACTGCTGTTGTATGTAAAGCTCTTACCATCTCTACAACTAGAATTCACAACTGGGTGTTTAACCAGTGCAAGTGCTGTTGCCTTCGCTAGCATTGCAGTCATGGTCACTCCCTTAGATTTGATCTAAAAATGTTCGGAAGAAGTTACTCATTACTCAATTTGAACAAGAAAATAAAAAAAAGGCACTTTTACAGATGCTAATTCACACAAACAATTTCTCTGATGAATGCGCCTGAGTTTCCACACATTCCATTTCTTAAACCCGATTATTTTCTAAAATCTACACTGACTTTTTCTCACCTTCTAGCTACAACATCTGAGTTGACTCCATAAAATTGGTATAGAAATCTTTATGCTAATCTATCAGTAATTGACATACTATACATTCACCAAAAGTCAGAAATTTCAAAGCTTTTCCTCACAGTTATCTCTAGGACGACAATTTCTTTTACCGAGCTACAGCATGTATAGATCTTTCAACTACTGCATTTAGTAGAACTCATAAAACCTGTATTTTTTGCATGAATCAATTTATATAGCAAATCAGTAAACATAATCGCTATATTACCTTCTTGTACAAAGTGTCCAGTGCATCAGTGGTAATTGTATACCCCACTCTAAACGTCGGCACAGCCAAACTTTCCATCATATTCCTACTCACTGCGCTCTGCATTGTCGTAAATGGAACCACCGTCCCCAATTCCACCACAGCAGCACCAGTACTCGGCTTAGCAGCCTCACTAGCCACTGCAGCACCACCACTGGCACTCACTTTCGCAGCAGCAGCCACCTCCACATCCTTCGCCACTATCCTGCCATTAGGGCCACTCCCAACTAGTCCAATCAAATCCACCCCAAGTTCCTTCGCCAATTTCTTCGCGTATGGTGATGCCACGACCCTCTTTCCCCCCTCAGATGCCGGGTGAACTGAGGACCCCATTGCACCATTAGCAACAGAGCTTCTGCTACTAATATTTGCATTTGTAATGCCTCTGGGAGTTTCGTTACTGGTGGTACTATCCGGGGAGGGGTCGGTGGTGGTGGTGGTGGCGGCGGCGGGGGAGGATGATTTCTGGGCTAGAGCGGCTGCAATTTCATCTTCCGATTCAGCAAGAAGGGCAATAGGCATCCCAACGGGGGCGGAATCTCCCTCCTCCACCATAATGGCGGCCAGGTAACCATCGTAAAACGACTCAACATCCATATCCGCCTTGTCGGATTCCACCACCACCACCGAATCTCCCTTGGACAGCTTCTCCCCCTCCGACTTGATCCAGCTGATGATTTTTCCCTCCGTCATGGTGGAGCTCAATGCCGGCATGAAAATTTCTCGGATCTTGGAGTGTATTTGTAGGGCCCGGGTCGGGTTGTGGATGGTTCGGGTTAGTGGGCGGCGGAGAGAAGGGGAAGTGGTGGGGACGAAGGTGGTGTGGAGAAGTTGTGACATTGTTACTGTGTGTATGTGAGAAAAAGAAGAGAGGGAGAGATGGAAAAATGGAGTGGAATTGTGTGTGATTTGGAGGAAAATAGAATGGAATTATTGGATTCATCGAAAGAGGGCGGAGGTTTCAACTACCTTACCGGTTGTGTTTAGTGATGAGATTGTTTTTGTTTTTCTTGTTTTCACTTATTTTTTTGAACATCGCTACATTTACACTTTGATTTACACTTTGCTACGTATCATTATTCAATTAGACAGTTTAAATTTTATACGGTTTTTCATCTAATGCATTGTCGACAACAATGCCAATGTCAACCAAAATGAATAAATTTAGTGTATAAATGGCGCAGTCCCATTCTATTTTCGTCTCTTCTGAAGTTTTGGGTACAAGCGTTTTAAGTAGAGGTACTTACAAAAAAACCCTTATTTTTGGGGTCATTTTGAAAAATTATGAGAAACGTGAATTAAAAGAAAAATACACTAATTGAACTTAATAAACACCACAATATTTACTGTGCTAACCAAAGAAATCGATTAGCTACTCGAGTTTTCCACCCTTCCAAGCTCCAAATCAAACCTCTCTTTAGTGTTTTTTCACTTGAACAAATTTTACTAATTTTTTGGGATTTCATTTAACTCATAAAAATAAATTTATCCAATAAATTTCCAACTCTGTTCAATTTATTTAATCTCAAATCGGAGAAATGGTGATGATTGTACTCTCTGTTTTTCTACAATCCTTCCCTGATTGAATTCTCCCTAAAATTCTCCTTTCGAAAGGATCTCACATTTCACGACGCTGATTCTCCAACGTTTGGGAAATTAGGCATTTGCGATCCCTCTTTTGTACATGTTGCAATCACCCCTCGATGTTGCATATTTATGGGTTCGATAGCTGCGGTTCATTCAATTCTGCAGCATTCAAAAAGTTCAGAAAGTCTTGGCAAAGCTTTTTCATCTAATCTTCCAGCAATTCATGCATAAGCTGCGGTCAAAATGTTTCCTCTTTGTTGGAAAATGGAATCATTTCTTGATTTGACTGGTGCATCTCCCTGCTAATCTTCTCTCTTTTGTTCCTTCGAATTTGTAGTAACATTGATAACAACATTGAAGTTGGAAGTAGCATTTAGTTAGCTTCAGCTCTGAAGATGATAAGTCAGGATTGCTTCGTGTAAATGATATGTTTTACATGATTTGTATGTGAGGGAAGTAGTTTACTATTTGGTATGATCACTTCTCTATAATTTTGTCATTCGCAAGCTGATGCTAGTTTAGGTTCTTCGAGCCTCAAGTCACAAACCATAACGATATTATATCCTCGACTTTGAATCCCAAGCAACAAAGTTTTTCCCAACTTACATTGGGGCTAAAAACTCTCTCTCACAAAAATTAAAGGCTTGAGGCCCAAAAAAAAAAAGATGGGAAAGTTTTGAATTTTGATACATATAATGATTGAAATGTTTGAAGTAGATTGAGTTAATATATACGAAAAATCAACTTTGAATCAATTTAAGTGATACATATGAAGTGTTCGTGAAAATGTAAATACAAATATGAGAATGAGAAAAGCGACATTTTCTATCATTTTTTAAAAAAAAAAGTTTTACACTATTTTATTTGTGTTCTTTTTATAGATATGAATAAAATTAAAATTTTCATATGTTATAGAGCCAAATGAAAACAAGATAACGACTATAAAATTGATAAATGACTAGAATTGTTGTCCCGATGCACAAACAACACCATTTGTTAAAACGTAAATTTCACTTCTTTATTTAAAAAGTGACACATCATGTAACTTTTTTATTAAAAAAATGATATGTCCTGTTACTTTTTTAAGAAGCTAAGCTTTGACACTATTAGAAAGAGACAAGTTGTTATTGATATACAATTTCATCAATAAACACAATCGGCATATCCTCATATTTACATATAAGCTAAATTTGATAATAATTTTACGAACTTCAAGGTGTAAAAAGGTGAGGTACCATCACTTTTTTGAATGAGCTATGAAAAAGTAACATATCACGTCCTTTTAAATCAATATTCATACGGTATGATTGACTTTCAATCCTATAAAAGATAAAAGAAAAACTATTAAATGAAATAAATTCAAGAAAGTGATAAATATTAAAAAATGTGACAACGTCTCAAAAAAATGAAAAAATCAATTTGTGGACTTGTTTGACCTTTCAAGTTTTCGAGCACAATTCATACGTGAATTTGTAGTTCTAAACAATTTTAAAGGCGTTGATCTAATATTTTATTTTTTTGAGAGCAGTGGACCTAATTTTTCCTTTAAAGTATCGATTTTGGAGCGATTTTTAAAATAGTCAACTCATGCTTGAAAATTTATTATCCAACAATTTTAAAAGTTCTGTAAAAAAATAAAATTATATATGTGCCCTATGGTGTAGTTTTTGATTTATAATTTCGTATATGAATTTTTTTACTCATAAGTGATATTTTATGTATAAGTAATTTTTTACAAAAATAAGTTAGATTTTACTTAAAAGTGAAATATTTATTTATAAATTTCTAAGTTAAAGTAAATTTTATAGCTATAAGTTAATTTTGTGCTTTTAAATAATTCTTTACACAATTGAATTTTTTTGTTTTATAATTTTTATCTTACTAGCGGTAATCTTTACACAAATGTTTATTTTAACCTTGTAAGTAATTTTTATTTTATAAGTAAATTTTTTAATTATAAAATAATTTTTTCGCTTATAAATAAAATTTTTTAGTAAATATATTTTTATTTATAGGTTAATTTTTAACAAAATATATGAATTGAAAATAATTATTTTAAACAAGGTAAATTTTGAAGAAAACTTGACAAACGACCAAAATCAATTGATTTGGTGGGTTGAAAAAACAACCAAAATTACTGCAAAAAAAAAAACACTAGCAAACATCAATTTTTTCAACCTTTCATAAATGGTGTCATATAAAAACAATCAAAACTAGAGAGAGAAAAAAAGGCAAGTAAGCCCTTAAAATTGTAAAAAAAAAATAGGGTTGGCAACAAAAATAGATGGGCAAGAACGGCCACCCTCCTAATTCCTGCCTCATCAAGAGTTTTTGAGAGGTGGAACAACGATTTACGTATCTCCATTTACTATCTGTTTAATTAATTATTTTTTTTTTAATATTGATAATGTCAAAATCAATCGTCCCAAACTCGACCTTGAACTTTAAGTACTGGAGCTTTCATCCCACTTCATAATGAAAAGTGACTTGACCTAGAGGTTGGTATTGAGACTTTCTCACCCTCAATTATGTGATCCACGAGACATCCTAGTACTCATGTTGGGATGCAGTCCTCCTCACCGTGGTCCATTCCCAACCATAGGGATGACCCAAGACACGCCCTCATCTGACCTCCAATGTCCCTTGCCTTCCTCGCAATGATTTGTTCTCGACCTAATATCTAACACCAAAATTGAATAGATAAAATTGAATCTTCAAAATTGAAATTTATATAATCATTTAATTTAAAAAGGATAAAATGAATGAATTCTTCTAATTCCTTTTAACTTTAATACTCCCAACAGATTTTTATTAAGTTCTCCACCTACAATCTCCATAACACACAAGACCACTGGCAACCACGAAAAAATAATAATAATAATAATAATAATAATAATAATAATAATAATAAAACTCAAGAAATAGGAAGTAAAAAGAAAGGTTGCAGGATTAGTCCTCCAAGTATTTATAAATTGAAAGTTGATCTCTATTCTTTAAAAAGTAACACATTGATCCTCCACTTTTAACCCCAACATTAGAAAACGTTAAAATCTCAATTAAATTGTCATATCATCTTCACAGAAATACACACCACTTCAAATTTTTATACATTGACCCAAATTTTAAAGAAATTTTTTTTTCATAAAATTAGACATATAGAGATCAAATAACAATTTAGTAGAGATTTGAACAATTTTCCTAGTTGAAGATTGGTTATGTATCTATAATAGTTGAAGGACTAGTAGTGCTATTTTCCCAAACTAAATCAGAAAATTATCCCGGTTTAATAACCGGTCCGGTCGAGCCAGGTTTATAAGCCACCATGAAAGAATTGGCTGAGCCTGAGATAAACTGATAAAACTTTATCTTCTCAACAGTTCAAAAAAATTTCCAAGAATGATCCAAGATTTTCTCTCTTGATGCTACAAAAATTATATCTTTATACACAAAAACACACCAAGAACACACACAGTTAACAAATTTCAGGTAGAAGAAAAGAATGCTAATCCAATGTACCTTTACACCTCCTTTGGAACATTCTTACAGCAACAGTATTTCTATCCCAAATCTAACACCAAGAAACAGGTTTCATCCAATTTCTGGTGAATTTTCAGTCCTCCATAGTGATGGGACAGCTCTATGTTACTTTCCAAGAAAATCCACACAGCACAAATTCAGGCCCCTTAAACTCTCTTTGCAGGTATGTGACTCTGCAATCTTCGTTTCTGTTTAAAATTTTTGGTATGGAATTTTCCTAGACATCCTGTGTGTGTATTATGTTATTAATTTTCTTTTACATTGCTAAATAACTTATTATGTTTGGTTTTTGGAAATCTAAAGATTTGGAGTGAAAACTGTAAATATGAACAAGGAAAGAGGTCAATGTGATTATTTCTAGTTTCACGATAAGGAAGAGTGCATAATCGAGTAAAAAAAATGCTTAACTATCACATTATAACAAATGAGGATGGATGTGACTGGTCAAGTTGCATTTTCGTTGGCGAAACATACTTTGTTTCTTTTGCGTGTGATCTATGCATACTTGTTCGTAATTTGGTTCGTTATTTGTTATCATATGCCACGAAATTTTGGTTTTCAAAGGGAGTTGATAGCAAGACATTGTCTATTAGCCACCTATTGTCCACTCAAAATATAAATAAAGAAATAAATTCAATGCTATCCGAGATTTACATTATTTGTTAAAACGAACTAAATTTTTATTGTGCTATTCATTATGCTCTTACTAGCTTCATGTTTGGTTGTCAATGGATACAGACATTCGAAAAGGAAATGGAAATAACATCTTCCTTGACCTCGGAAAAACTTGAAGGTAATAGCAATTTCTTCTTTTCAGTTGCTAATTCACTCTGATTTATATCCATGTTTATTTTCGTTATGTGCCCTTGATCAAATAGTACACCATGGGAGTCTTTGGGCATTGCTTGAGCTAAGTCAAGCTTTTTCCAAGTTAAGTAAAGATGACATCAAATTTTCTTTAGCACACAGTTGCATTTACACAATTTTTAACTATTCCAAGTGTGAATGCCTGTGCTTTAAAGTTGCTTTAGAGAAAGTAAGCTTTAAAACTTAATTTTCAGAAAAGTAAGCTTTGTTAGTAAAAAGGAGTAACTTTTGAAAATCATATTTGGCAAAATAAGTAATTTTTAAAGTTTAAGCACTACGAAACATGCTCACAATCTTCGATCCTGAATTAGTTTTCACTATTTTGGCTACTCATTTCGGAAGGTCCTATGATGACCTGCATTATGCCTTCATTCTTATAAAATCTCTATTTAGTTATCATTTTATTACTTTTCTAGCAAAAACTTTGCATAATATTAACTTTTTTTTTGATAAGTAATTACGTAAATTTTATAAATAAAAAATAAAAGATAATACACAAGGAGTGCATTATCATATTAAATAAGATAGAAACGATAAAAAATTCGGCAACCCTTCTATCGGATTAACGGTTGTAGCCTTAAACCAACTATACAAAGTCAAGTAAAACATTTCTCTAAATTACTTTGTCGTCCGTATTTGATTTTCAAAGCATGTGCCATTTCTTTCTCTCCACACACACCAAATGATGCATCCTGGAATGAGATCCCAAACAAGTTTGCTATTCTTATCTCGAAACTTTCTCTTCCATGCCCACATCACTTCCTTGATACGCCTTGGGAACACCCAACTCATGTGTTGCGAAGTCAGAATATTATTCCATATCCAACGAACACCATCACAATGAATGAACAAATGATCGATCGTTTCTCCATTCCTCTTACACAAATAGCACCACTCCATTATACAATAGCCCTTGCTTCGAAGATTATCTGTCGTTAATACCTGTTCCCTCACAACTGTCCGCGGTAAGAAATCCACCCTTGGAGGTAATTTACTTTGTTGGACCCTTTGTCAGGGGAATGAACTCTCAATCGGTTCCAATAAGGATCTGAAATAAGTACGAACAGAGAACAAGCCATTCCGTGCCACCCTCTACCTGCTACAGTCGTCTTCTCCTACCTAAGTGTGCACCTCATATAGAGAAGCCAAAAATAATGCGTAATCATCCAACTCTCAATCATGTAAGCCCCTCCTGAAAGCGATGTTCCAGCTAGGGTTCCCATTAGATATAGTCATAGCATCACTCACCATAGCTGAGGGCTCTAGGGCAATGCGATGTAAAGAAGGAAACCGCACTTTTAATATTTGATCTCCGCACCAACAATCGTCCCAAAATCTGACGTTCGTACCATTCACCACGCATAATATTAATAAAACCTCAAGTATCATCATCATCATCATCATTTTTGCGAAAAAGGAAAATGGTGATTCATAGATGTGGCGAAAAAATATAGTAGTTCTTCTCTCCAAAGCAATAATCTTCATTGACGTTTGAGCTATAGAGGGTGGACTTATCAGGATTTAGAATGTAGAGTATCAGTTTTAGGTTTGTTAAAAGGCACATTGTTGAGGTTCTAATCATAAACTCTTAAGATGGAGTTCTGTTCTTTCTGGTCAGTTGGGTTTAGTTTCTTGACTTCTTCAGATCATGAATGTTTAGGTTTAGGTTTCGGTCCTATTTACAGTTTCGTTTATATAAAGCATTGGGTTAAGCATACTGTAGATAGATTTTGTAGCTGATCTCTCCATTTTGTCCCAGAATTCTCAAGGAAGCTTTCAGTTCATGAAGATATAACAAGAGTTAAAAGGGCTTTTATTTTCATATCATCTTTCTCGTGTTGTTCATGGTTGATACCTGCACGAATGGTACAAGCAAGTGAAGATGTAAGAACAAATGTCGTCTACGAGATTGGGGAGTTATTTGAATTGGGAATCCAGCTTTCCTACCTGCTTTTACTACTTGCTTTGCTTGGGGTTGGAACATTCTTTGTAATCCGTCAAGTCCTTATGCGCAGAGAGCTTGATCTTTCCGCTAAAGAATTACAAGTAAGTACTAGAGTGTTTTCGCTTTATCTTTGATATTTGTAACTGGCACGGTTTACTTCGAGCCCCTAACCTAAAACTCCAAACTAGAGAAGGAATGAGCTACAGGATGGACTTTGATTATTTAGCCAAAAGCATGGGTTCATCAGTTAGAAGCAAAAATATTACTGAGATAATTGGGACACTCGAGCTCAATATCATACTTATTACATATGTTCTACCAACAAGGTTAGGATCTGAATAGAAAAAGGTCTCCACTAAAAAAGTCATTTTGTTATCATAAACGCATGCTTATATCAAAAATTATAAGAACGTTTTATAGCTATCATATGTTTGGAGAGAATATGTGTAAAGATGGTTAATGGGTACTACCTGATATTTCGAAGATTTAACTTCCAACTTGGAGTTCGATTGAAGAGATGTTAGGTCGGTTCCTCGTGTGCCTAAGAAGCCGAGGCAATCTCGATTGAAGCCAATTATGTCTTGCTACTTGTAAATGTTAAGGATATGGAAATATTTCCACGTTCTCCGTGATATTGTTATATTTTTCAGATTCCCTTTGATTAATTTGATGGCATAATTAATGTAGAGTGTATCATTTTAGGGTTAATTGTAAACTTATAAATCTCTATGTAATTCTTTGACTGGACAGTTATACCAGTTCTATTATTCCTTCAGCATTTCTGTCTCAATTATGTTGACTTAAAGTTTCTATCAGTACAGACATTATCCTTAGTTGTCTCTCCTGGAGCACAATCATTATGAACAGATCTATGCCTTTCCAAAGAAACATATACCCAAAAACCCATTCCTCCTCCGAGTTTAGTGTCTGAGAAAAAGATAAGAATAACGATAGAGTTTAGATAAGATTTTAAATTAGGGTTTAATTCAAAGTATGTTTATTTTAATTAGATTAAATTAGTTTTAATAATTTGATAAAGTTCTAGGTTATTAGAAGCTCTATTAGTTTTAAATTATTTGCTCTAAAAATAGAGGGTTTACTCATTGTAATAGGTACAATTGATTATATGAACAAAAAATGATTTTATCTTGCCCTAAATTCTTCTCTTCTTGGACCTCCTTTCTCTTTCTTGTTCTTTTTCCTTTTCAACTGTTCGTTATCAATTTTTTACACTCCTCTCTCTCTCTCTTCTTCCTTTTTTGCAATTGTTCGTTATCAATTTATAACGCTCCTGCATCACCCAAGCTTTAAGTTTATCGCATTCTAATAGAAGAAACCATTTAACAAAGTTAAGCTGACCCATATATAGGCACTAATATGTTAATATATATATATAAATGTTCGTGTACTCCTATCTATCAAGGGACCCTAAGTATTTCAAACTTCTATTTATCTTAAGTGCTAGTCTTGTCATGTTGATTCTGTAGTACATTTTCAGTTGATATCCATTTGCATAATAAATACTTCCATCAGTTCCATTGAATGAATTTCATCTTTTATTTTATAGAGTTGCTATTAAGACTTTTTCCTCGGTTGTATATCATATATGAGTTTTGAATCTTCTCTTTTTTAACGCAATACCAAAGTGAAAAGCTATGTTCTGTTTGTTTCTGAAGATGCCCGATGTCATGTTTCTTAGCTCGGTTTGGCAAATTTATAAATGGTTTATAAAGAGGAATAGTAATAATGTGAGTAGTTATAAATGTGTAGTTGAAATTAATGTTTGACTTTGACTGAATTTATAATTCATTTATAAATTTGTTCCAAACAGAGGCTTAAATTTCCCTTGTGTACTACTATATCAGATGAATTCATATGGTGTCCGAATTTGCTCATTTTTATTTTTTTGTTTCATCTATTTCTCATGATGCCACTATTTAAATAAATCTCAGGAGCAAGTGAGAAGTGGAGATGCTAGTGCGACAGAGTTGTTTGAACTTGGAGCAGTAATGTTGAGAAGAAAGTTCTACCCAGCCGCTACCAAGTATCTGCTTCAGGCAATTGATAAATGGGATGGAGATGATCAAGATCTTGCTCAAGTACGATAATTATTTAACTTAAACTATCGTCACATCAATAATAAAACAGAATACATGCTCATTGCACCGTAGATGCTAGCAAACTACCTTCGACTCCAATATTGGCTTAAAATCACCTTTCTCATTCTTGAAACAATCAAGTATCTCTGCAATCAGCCAAGTTTTTACATGTACAAGTGCAGAAAAGAATGATAGTCTCTGAGAATTCTTCTTTTGCACATCGAGAGAAATTAAAGCCAAGTTGTCAAAAAGTTCAAATCCCTAACCTGTAGCATACAAATCCTTAATATTTGGCTCGTGATCTGTGCTATATTTTCAGTTAATGATTGTCAAGATATGCTTAATTTCATCATCAAAATGGTATTCCCTGTTTCAGCAAGTTATCGATTAATTTCAACTGATCCAGTGACTCCGTTGCTTCTCCAAGCATCATCTTCACTTTCCTCTTTAGCTCAAAGGCCCTTTTTTACTTCTCTCTCCACACATATTATGCATATCATTTTTCAGGCAGGCCCTTATGAGAAAGAAAAAGGAAGAAGTTTCTGTATGAAACATGAAATGCTACTATCAGAAATGTATGCTAGTGATGATGATAATTACCATGTATTCACTGCACAAACCGAAATTCCATATAGGGGGCTTGTAGTTTCTGACTGCCTAATTGCAGTCTAATTGTTATTTTTGATAGCCATCGAATAATGATAATTTTTTCTTCCAGTTTCTAGTGAAGCCGATATGATCATGTATAGTAGGCACACATAGCACATGGATTGTTTTATGGGTATCACTGTGTCTTTCTGGACGTCCTCTTTAAGACAGTTTTCCTAATGAAGTTTTAGACTGTAGAGAAATAGATGAAAAATAGGGTGCATATAGAAGATGGAAAATATTCTAAGTTTTGTGTTATGACCATTTTTGGATTATATGGAGCCTAATCGTTCTGTGCTCTCTGATGTTGAGGGTTAGGTTTAATATATAACTATTTTTCCATTCACCAGGTTTATAATGCTCTTGGTGTCAGTTACATTCGTGATGGAAAAGTTGACAAGGGTATTGCTCAGTTAGAGAACGCTGTCAAACTTCAACCCGGTTATGTCACTGCCTGGAACAACCTCGGTGATGCTTATGAGAAGAACAAAGACTTGAAGTCGGCCCTTAAGGCATTCGAAGAAGTTCTGCTCTTCGATCCCAACAACAAGGTGGCACGTCCTCGAAGAGATGTATTGGCTGAAAAGGTAAAGATGTATAAAGGAGTCCCTGTAAAATCAAAGAAGAAATGATTTTATAAAAGGTTATCTGAAGATTATACATACTGATCTTGAAATCTTACTGTAACTTCAATTTATGTTTTTGGTAGCTGCTTTAGTCGGAAACTTAAAGTCGTACGCTGATCATGTAGTGATGCTAATATTCGGTGATTTTTGTTTTCATTTTTGAATGAAAAATTCACGAGTTCTTCTTTGTATTTTTGTTGTGGATACTGTTGATCTTAGCAGATGTTTGTGCAAGTTCATATCTTTCTATCTTGCACAATTCAATGGATTGTTTGTACTCTGTAAAATTTACTGGGAAGTTGTACACCATTTTGTTCATCTTTCTCACATAATTCATTAGCCAATCATTTAGCTTGTAATGCAACCGAGTATGTCATGTTATTGTTTCTTCCACGCTTTGTTATGCAGGGCAGGACACAATCGACATGATTAGCCCGACCACATTTATATGTTGTTTGTTGTCGATTTTTATAGAGGTGTCAATCCGAGTGGTCCGGATCGAGTTGGCCCGCCAACATATGAGCCCGGTAACGGACCTCGTGAAAAAAACCCACCCGCTACGGGTTTCGGGTCAGCCCAAAAATTTTGGACTACAACCCAAGCCCGCCCGCTGACCCATGCGGGCCACGGGTCGCGGGGTCGCGGTTTGTTTTGATTTGACCCGTATTATTGTATAAATAAAATTATAAAAATATATAATTTTTCATATTTATAGCAAAAAAATATTTTTTTTTTGTTAAATGTAAACTAAGAATTGAACAAAATGATAAATTCATACTTATACCAAGAAATGTTTACATAGAATTCAAATTTAATGTTAGATGAATTATTTATAACTTTGCAAAGTTAAATTTAACTTAAACAAATAACAATTAAATGCATTTCTAATTACTATTATCAAATATTTATAGCATAAGTACATCCCAACTAGATTGACACCTAATTTTATTATAATTTATAGTTTTGAGTACATCCCAACTAGGTTGGCAGCTACTTAAATCTTAACTATAATTTTGTTGTTCAAAAATTATATATTTTAATATTTGTATATCCCCATTTCAATTATTTACTTTTATATATTTGTTCAAAAATTAATTAAATTTTTTTTTCATGGGTCGCGGGTTAACCGCGGCCCGTGAAGGTGTGCAACCCGCGAAACCCGCGGGTCACACCTTCTTGACCCGTAAATCGCCCGTTCGGGTCACGGGTTGACCCGCGGTCCCGGGTCAATCGGAGCCGATTTTCACTGGTCGGTCAGCTGGCCCGTCTGTCTTGACACATCTAGATTTTTATATCTTACAAGTGCATGAATCGAAATAAGTAATATAGTGGACTAATGAATCGGAATATCGTTCTATGAGGACTACTATTTAACAATAAGTTAAATTATTCCCAATTTTAATTTGATAAAAAACAAATAGTAAGGTTTGTGATTGCTGTCTAAATTATTCTAACTAAACTAAATTATCTAACGTGAACAATTTATCGAATTTGAGTTTTGAAATTATGAAAAAGGATGCTCGAACTTACAATTTTTCCTATGAATCCCCTTTATTCACCAATCAAGATCCATTACTATTGTAGTGGTCGATCGAATTCTTCTAAAATATTCAATTTATCCATTTCTAATTCTCATTGAGTCTATTTAGTTAATTCAATTTCATATCTCTATGTAAATCAATTTTAATTAAACGAAATATTAGTTCTAAAAATGCATCTAATGACCGCAATTATTATTATAACATCTACACGTTATACTAAATTACCAGATTTTACTATGTTGTCTAAATCTAAAAGTCAATAATAGATTCACAAAAACAATGAATAATTGGCCAAAAAATTCAAAACATTAAATTCATGAATAAAATCAACACATGTGCATTTAAAGAACTAGAACTTTGAATAAAATATATAAAATGATCACATATAGAATACATTGTTCGCCTTAGCTATGAATTTAGCTACTCATAGTAATGAAAGAAAAACAAACAGTATAGAATTCATAACCAGGTTTTAAAATCTTGACCATGGAAAGAATTAGATTTTGCTTCAAGAATCTTCTTCAATGTCAAAAGTTTTCTAACCCTAGCTTTTACTCTTTAATCTTGATGATTATATGTTTTTCTCCCCCAAATTCTGTGCAAGTCTCTCAAAAGTGTGAAAAATTTGTATTTATAATCTTCCCCCATGTTTGTATCCAATGCAGGATTTTTATAGGTTTCAAAATGGGCCAAAACGCGCCCTAAATACACTTAAGCGACGCCTCGGTCCAATGGGAGTGGCGCCGCAAAGACAGTGTGGCGACGTCACCTTTTGGGTGAAAATCTGCACTGCATTTCCTTTAATATTTTTGCTCCTAATATTCGATTGAGGTGATTCAAATTGAGTCGTAAAGATAACTCAAAGAGCTACAATTTTACTAGAAATAGTTGTTTTCCAATTCGAATGTTTACTGGACCAGAAATGGATTCCAATCTCCGGCTGAAAATCTGGAACATCATTGTGCTGTTGAAAATTGATTTGTAAAATATTGTCATATTTTACTCATTTTGACTTCTAATCGCATCAAATTAACTCCTGGCATTCTCGAATCTTCATCGTGGACATCGGCACAATTTTTGAGTATTACACTTAGTCTCCAAACTTTGAATCTTGCCCATTTTTTCGTCAATTTTCACTTCTTTCTTTCAAATCAACTTCCTTTCATCGAGTTTCACATAATAAACGAAATATATAATAAATTAGGCTATACTTGTTCAAAAGAACTATTAAATGTCAAGACAAAATAAATGTATAAAATACATTTATCATTGTCCGTTGTACCACACAATAGTATCAAGCTCAACAAGTAAGGCGAGCTTCTTGCCCACTTTGACGGGCAATCCCGACCATCTTTGACACCACTAAGTTGCTCTATGACAATGACTAATGTCATCAAGCTCATCACATACATCAAAGAATTTGCATTATATATTGTAATGTTTGCTCAAGACAGCTATAAAACATGTCTACCAAGGGTATATAAAACACTTTGATGGGCAACCCCGTCAAAGTTGTAATGTTTGCTCTAAGACAGCTATAAAACACTTTGACGGGCAACCCCGACCATCTTTGACACTACTAAGTTTCTCTATGACAATGACTAATGTCATCAAGCTCATCACATACATCAAAGAATTTGCATTATTTATTGTAATGTTTGCTCAAGACAGCTATAAAACATGTCTACCAAGGGTATATAGATCATCCAGATCACAAAGTGACCTTAACTACACAGGTCAATCTCCTAGCAATCTCAGTAAATTACAGAAGTTTAATATGTAGTGATAGTTTTAATACAATATTTTCCGACGTTATTAGTCAATAATACAATACAAATTCTAGCTTGCAAAATGATGATCCATCATTTTTGTATCATTCCAGATGAGTCTTTTTTTATCTTCTTTCTGAAAAAGAAACCCAGTGCTGTACCGACCAATGGCCAGGTCGATATGATGGCTATATAAGCAAGCAGCCATATTGACATCCTATTTTGTCGGGAAACCAGATATAAGCACCTTTCAACAATACTCGTACGCTTGGAATTCGCAGATTTTTCTGGGGTTTGAGTAGGACGGGTTGATTCCTCTCCACTTGTGAATTTGTGTTCTTCTCTGGCTGAAATTGTTGTATTAGTTTGATTGTGATCTTCATTCTCTTTAAATGACTCTTCAACATCACCATCAACATCAACATCAACGTCAACATCTGTTCGTCCATTGTCCGTGGCAGCAACCATACTGTCATCTGTGATGTTAAGATACGGGCCTTGATCAATTGAAGATTGCATTGCTGCAGAATGAGGGTCGATACTTTGTGCCTGTAATAAGAGCACACTTTTAAGATGTGTTTGACACAATGTACTCGAAATTATCACAGTGGACAAGATTTTAGCTTTTTTCTTTCTTTCCTTAATGTTGTCCAGTGCTGTTCAATCTAGTATACCAAACATGCCAAAATAGAGATAATAACACACCTTTTGATGATGCATAAAGGGACTTGAATGTAAGGCTTCAAAAAATTCATTGACCGCTCTCACCCACCTGCAAAGCAAAAAACAAGTTGAGATTACATATATACGCCAATCTTCAAAAAATAAGATTTTAAACATTACATTTTAACATGAAATAATTTAATTCTGAATCTAATTTTTAAAACGAGAATGAAAAATTTAAAATCTAGCCCAATTATGTTTACAATCACATTAGACAAAAAAAAAGGCACTATAAAAAATGGAAAGTGAGAATGAATAGCTTAATGGAGTACGGGAATACAGCATTCCATGTATTTAATGGGAAAATACATTCTATATGTAAAGCCATCATCTCAAGCGATCATCTTTTTTATTTACGAGGCTTTCAAGTAGAGGCAACGTATAAGTTAGTGGTTGGTACTTGCAAAATCCATTGGATTTTCATCTTGTACCTTTCGAACCACCTCATCTAAGAGTTTAAGGTGTTAAAGAGGGGGCGCATTCATTTATTTTAAATTTAGTTTGCAACCTGCCAGATGACATGCAGTCCTGAATTAGTTTTTCTTCAATTGTCTAGAACTATTACATTTTCATAAATGGATGGCAAGGAAACTTAAACCCGAGACATTTGCATGCCATAATAGCATGTTGAACCACCTCGTCTAAAAGCTAAAGCTGTTAGAAAGGGGACTCATTTAAACTTAGTCTTCATCAGTAGCCTACAGAATAAGAGAACATTATGCCAGATGATGTTTTAAAGACGTGGAAATTGCAAAGAAACGAGTTGTTTTTGACTAACCACTTTAGATGTTCTCTCAGTGCATCTGCTGTATCTTAAAAGTTAAACTGCAGATCCATGGCAAAAAATTCACAGTAAGGGGAGTATGAATTCAATTACCACAAGCTAGATCCAGCAATGCCTTCAAAGAAAGCTAGGTGTCCTCCATGTTGTGTTGTAGCTAGGACTGTATTTTTGTTTGCTCTGCAATAAGAGAAGTTGTTACATTAGTAGGAAAAATTAACATCGTGAAGGGAAGTAAGAAATGTATGCAGCATTTCTCTTTGACACAAGATAAGCAACCATACCTACATTCATTGAAAGGAATGGCTTCACTAGTGCAGACTGGATCATCCAATGCACTTATGCAGAGTAGAGGTACTGAAACTCGTGGCACAAAAGAGCAACTGCTAGTGTGCCTATAGTATGAATCTGCAGTCTTGTAGAAAAAATACATATATTTTCAATATGCCTGCAACACAGAGAGAGAGAGAGAGAGAGAGAGAGAGAGAGAGAGAGAAACCTCATAATTTCCGACAAGACAGGTGGCATGGGTGTCAAAATCCCGAATAGAACGTGACTGTGGAAAGCAGGGAAATAACCGAGAAGACAATTTAGTTGCTGGGAAAAAGGATAGTATGATTAATCAAATTCACTGCATCACTAATCAGAAAATTCCAAATAAGAAGTACGCAATTGACCATATTCATAGGTCATGCTACTTAGTGTTGCATTTTGACAAGATCCCAGTACCAAGCAACCAGTTAGAACCATAACCCGATCAAACTTTTAAAAACAGGCTGTTAAATTACACGTTAGCCTAACCTTCATAAATAACCTTCATATAGCATGAGAAAATAACTGATCTTGAACTACAATGAGATAATAAGTAGCACCAGTGCAGAAAGACCAGAAACATGGACGAAGACAGACTGGAAAAGCATTAAATTGTACAAAATCTCATGCAGGAGCCAGGAGGATGACTGTTTCTGTATCTAACGATTCAAGGATTCAAGAACGTCATTCAGATAAATGCAGGAAAAAAAATCACACAACCCTAATTCCAAGAGAATTTATTAAACATAAATGAAAGGCAACCTTTTCAATTCCCTCCCAGTTAGCAAGCCGAGAATAACGTGGTTTATGTCTGCATGCACAATCAAATACTATAACGTTATTCCATAAAATTTCTTCCATAAGTCCAATTGAGTTTATAGACATAATGCCCTTGTTTGGGCTTATTAAAATGTGTTTTTAGGGAAAAATGTATTTTGGAATAGTGATTTTTTGAAGAATGTGTGGTTAAAAAAGAAGGAAAAGTTTGGGTTTACGTGCAATATTATTTTATTGGAGAATGTGTGGTTAAAAAGAAGAGAGAAAAATATATTTTAGATAAAATGGAACCCAAACAGGGGCAATATTAATAAAACATGGACCCATGTATATTCTAAACATGTGTATTATCCAAAAGTTTGTAGAAGTATTTGAGGCTCAATGACCGAATAAAGTTAGTTTCCCAAGTGGGAAAATAAATATACGTATATTCAGAAGGCTGTACTACATACAGTTGCGCATAACCTTGAAGGCCAATAGTAAGAGCTCTGTCATATAACCTCTGTAGGAGCCTTCGGCGAATAAACCTGGAACCAATCTGGGAATATGGAAATGAATGATATATATTCTGGATAATTATATGGAAATAAATCATAAAAAGAAATTTATAACTTGTACTCTTTGAGGATGATAGTGTATGATTAAAAGAAAAATAAGAAAATTCTAAGAAGGGAATTCAACTCTCCTGAATATCTTTAGGAGCGTGTAAGCTTTTAGCAAAAGAATCTGTAAATATGGTCAGGCGAAGCACTCCCTATGACATGCTCCGCAGATTCTTATTCTCTAAGTAGTTAAGGGATTACTTTATCCTCTTGATTAGATGCCTTCAGAGATAGTTGCTTGTATATATATGGCATAAGCTTGTACAACGTACCCTAGCTTATATATAGCTTATATATGATGTTTAGTATTTTTCATAATTTAAAATTCAGCATAATTCCAATATTATAAACAACATTAAAATAGAAGTCTGACAATAAAAACTAAATAAAATACTAAAGCATTTTAATCGTTAATTGTCCCAACTTCATTTGCTTCAACATCACCACTATTAAATTCTTCATTATCATTAAAAATCACATTCTCCAACCCTGGCTCATCTAATAATAGATTAGCAATCTCAAGCAGTCCAACACTTTCAATAGTATCAAATGACTTATTGATAATGACAATAATTATCCATCTATTGCTAATAATAATGAGTTTTAAAAAACTATAATTTTTTTCTTCTTCACATATCCTAACGAGTCCAATACGTATCAGAATTTCAAAAATATAAGAAATAGAAAATGAAAAAAACATATGCAGTACATATTAGAGTGTGTCCAAGTGTATCCAAGGATACGTATAAGATATGGATACACAATAAGTTTACACGTATCCATGCTTCTTAAGTATGGACAATGACCTCTCGTTGTATTAAATATGTTTTGCCAGTGGTGCTTTGATAAAAGTATGACGTAAGGAAGGTTAATATGCAAAACAAAGTTCTTTTGATGTCAAGGGATTAAGTGAATAGAGTATCATCAAATCTTACAAGTTAGTCATTAATAGAACTTTGAGAAGATTAAGAAGTAGACATTCTACAACTTGTTTTGGAAGAGGTCTCCAATGAGTATTTGATTATTCTGAGCACAGATATCTTCTGACATACAACCTCAATTCTACTCAACCACAGCTGTCTCAAGGTGTCTAACATTCATGTCCATAAAGCAGGTAATATACATTCATCACAACCAGTATAGTTTAGCAAACTAACCAAAAGATCCCAAGGAGAGGAAACTGCTGCAGCACCTGCAACAGGAACATTCTCCCCATCCTCTCCAAGATATTTTACCTGAAAGAAACAAGTTAAGAAGCAAATACCAGTTACAATATTGAAACTCTTCTCTAAAGAGAGAAGAAATAAAATACTTCGATGACCATTAAACAGCATCATGACATGGCACATTAAACCTCTTACAATTTACCATTTGAGACAAACAATTAATAGGCATCTATCATTAAAAATTTAATCCCGATAGAACAGGTTAAAAGAAAGAAGGGTTGATCAAAGCTAACATGGACTTTGATGCTGCCAAATGTGTAGTTGGAGTCCAATAGATGTGGCAATGAACGAAAAGGATTCATGTAGTGGATCCTAAATTTATTGTTAGTAAGGCTTTGCTTGTCGTTGTCAAATGCAATACCTCAGGCAAGTTTGACTAATTGTTGGCCTTTCCTGAGCAAAATACCTACTATAATAAATAAAGAAGAGATTTTTACACATACACCAAATCCGTCTTTCAACTTTTAATGTCGTCCCCAATGATATGAATTCTCTCTTCAATTCAGGTAAACCAAGAGATAGAGCACGGAAAGCATTTGAATAAATTCTGGAAGTAAGAATGCTCAAAAAATCAGTTGCAAACTATCTTAATGAGAGAGAGAAGACTGGTTGAAGAGTGTTACCACAAGAGAGAACCAACTAGTTTACAGCCACAAATAATCTTTTCTTTTGCAGATGTTAAAGCCTACACTAGGAATTTCTCAATGTTTTCATGAGGTAGAAAAGCTGGCAACGGCCATGTTATCATGAGTAGCCCTGAAGTTTAGGCTTCTTAGCAATACACCCCAACAAATCAAAAGATCATGAAACTACAAGGTTCAGTTTCAGCACAATTATGTTCTTGCCGAAAATGAATGACACGTGTAACCTATTTAATACTTGAGATACATTCAGTTTGAACATGAAAGATCCAAGAACCTGCTGTCTTTTGAAATTATACTTAATTGGAACATGAGGTAAAGATAAAAGGTATCAAAATCTTCCCATTGATACCTTCAGCACAACCACAGTCTAAAAAGCAAAATCCTTGAGGGATTATCATGTTACTCTTAAACCTTAAGGCTTTTTTAACAATTGGAAAACCAGGAGTTAAGTCCCATCACTAGCTTGTGCGAAACAGCTTTAAGACAGAAGTATACCAAAACATTTGCACCAATACTAGTTCCCACAACAAATAATGGAGCTTCTGGGTATTCTTGATGTAGATAATTGATGACTTCGCGTATATCCCCTGTCCATCCCGCATTATAAAAGCAATCAGTCTGCAAAGATGTGAAAATCTCAAATTAAGTTAAATAATTGAAGAACTAACAGATATATGAACCACAAGCACTGAAACAGAAAATATTAATGGTGCTCCACTCAAAGTAAAAACATGCTATCACATACTGAAAGTGCCAGACATTTACAACAGAGAAGTGAGTTATCGGGGACATAATAGGCTTTAGAAAACTGGAGAAACAAACTATATTCTAATATATTAAGTGCATTAGATCTTTCAGTACTCACAGTAACTGAGATGCCACCCAATCCTCGGTGATTGCTGACAACCACATTCCAGCCATGTTTCGCTGTATTGAAAGCTAGATGTTTCATATACTGCAGATCATGTAGATAAAATTAGCATAAACAATATGATCCACAAACAAAGAAAGATGCACTTTACCCGTGGTTAAAGCAAACAAAAGCAATACCCTGCCTTATTCTGCAGTGATTTTGAGCTTCCAGTCTTACCTAATGTCCACTTAGTTTCCAAAATATGAGTGCAAAGATTTGTCTTCTACTATCCAGTTACTACAGAATTTCAATGGATGAAGTATAGCTCCATTCACCCATTAAAAAGTCATTATCCTATTTATGTATCTTTACCATTGCAATTTTTTTCCTTTAGGCGTTAGATAACTAAATTGAGTATCCCACGATGAAAAATTGCACAAATTAACCACAAACACACATCAAGCTCACAGGCTGAATGCTTTCTAACCTAGGAAACCATATATTTCTTTCTTGTTATTATGTAGGTCTTCAGATTTTTTATTTTCACGTGAAACCCAAGCTTATATGAATAAAATATGGACCACGCACAGTGTCTAAACTTCAAATATAACGTATGAATGAAAAATGTAGGTACCATTTCAAGACAACTTTTTTATAAAGAGTGAAGGCAGAATTCTATACTTACAGGAGAAGCAGAATCACTTGTTAGTCCTGGAATCATAACCACAATAGGAGTTGTATCATCTTTGCTAATGTCCTGATTTCTGCGAGTTACTACTCCAGACACTACCAAATAAAAAAAAAAAAGATATATTGCAAAATATACATCAGGCCTACACCAAATTTCAGCTATATTATAGAAATATTTTCATTAACAAAATGTCTGTGTATCTGCCTTGGCAATCATTTAAACAATATGATATCATTTTCTTTACCATCAAAATGCCTAAGCCAATCCAGAGCAAAAGTCCCACCATCCGATGCATGAAACAACTGTCTGAGAACCAGAGTCACATTAGATAGACAGTCTCTAAATTACACTTTTCCAAATAACAATTTCTGCAATACTGCTTCCTGTGAATTTTTCACTAAAATTTGGATAAAGAATATTTTAATCTTAAATGCAAATGATGATTCTCACGTAAATCACACAGAACAAGCACATATTATATATAGTACAGTAAATGGAACGTTATCTACGGAAGTTATGAACAACACTGAGTCATCTTGATATACAGTGAAGAACATCAGAAAACAATTTATAGAAATGCAGAACATCTGGGTCAGACTAGTCAGTCATGATTAAAGCTTCATTTTTCAATAGGAGACAGATTCTTGAATGTCTCAAACATTCAATATCAGAATCACATCGTGCAGATGTTTGGTAAATTATATTATTATACCTACGCTTTATCTGTGTCAGGAAAATGCAAAATTATTACAGTTATCCCTTCATGTTCAAAGAAGGATCAGCATTAAACTAATGAAGCTCTCTTGTCATATTTATAGTCCCTAAAAGGATGACTTTGAAGGATTTTTTTTCCTTGGAATACAACAAGAGTCGTAGTTCTCTTATTCGTTTTAGCCGTGATATGAAGGAAAAGTTAATCCATCATTGATCATTCTATTTTTCAAAGAATTTAAAGTATTATGTATAAAGTGCCCTTGGTAAGCACGTTATCCTACTTCAATATTGTATACCCTTTGTAATCTCTAATAGGTTTCAAGCATATAGGGTTCAATGAAAAATGAGGATCAAGTATAGAACTTCACCACGATCAAAAAGTACCATATAACAGGAGTATATTAGTTATCTATCTTTCAGTATTTCTAAATTCAAGTTCAGTTCGATATGTTACAAAATTTTTAAAAAAAGCTTCTATGAGAAAACTTCCCTTTGTTAACATCATTAATTCTTAGTTAAAAACTAAAAAGTACATCTTTACACTCGTATGTGGGCTACTTTTAAAGTCAGTTCCAGTTCAAGAAGCAAGTTTCTAAACTGCAAAAGCACAAAAGCTCGACTTGGACTTAACTTGATCTGGCATATAATGATCCTCTTTGAAATGTTCCTCACTGATGGGTTCCTTCATTTCCTTCATCTCTCCTATTGATTCATCATTAACCTTAACTGTAGGAACTGAAACTAACCATACAGTATTTAGTTAACTTGAATCCATGTTTTACTACATCTTTCTTCAGCTTAATAGGTCTCCATCTATCACACAACAAATTAGAGAATTTTTAAATTCACCTTAATCCTTCTATATATCGTTAGAAGAATTTGATGTTATCAAATTAATTTTCTTCTGGAAAGACAGCACTGCAACGTAAAGAAGATTTCTGCTTTAACACATGATTTGAACTCGACAAATTATAAGTTCTTCCATCTGTGTTTTCTTTGTAACCCGCAATATTCTTGTGACTCACATAATGCTTCCTCTTTACTTAGCTTCCATAACAAAAAAAAATCATATAAAACTGCAATGACTACACTAAGTAAACTCCCTTAAAAACAGTACATAACTTATTTTAAGGAAGGATCAAGTCAAAACTGCAGCGACACAATCTTATTTAGAACTCATTAAAAATCGTGAAGAAACTTAATTAACAAGCAGCATGACCTTTTCAATTAATTTATGAGAAGAAGAAGAAGAAGAAGAAGAAGAAAACTTCACCTTTTATAGCAAACTCTTGGAGGCCTTCCAAAGAAGTTTAGAAAAGAAGTTTGAATGTGAGGACTTGAGAGCCAGGGTGTAGCCAAATACCTATTCAATCCAAGAACAGTAAATAAATTTTAGCTGATTAAACCAATAATGCATACACAATTTCGCATAAAAACAATGGTGATCCAGATTCCCATCGCCCAAACTTACTAGTTTTTGAAATTTTTGCAAGTAAAAACTAAGCTATAACGCAAGTTCTCGTGTAGATTCTCTCCACATTGTAAAAAAAAAATGTCTATGCTTAAGGCTATAGCAGCAACAAAACCACCTACAACACTCATACTCGCACAATTTAGCTAACTAAACCAATCGTGGAAACACAAATATATGGAAAAACGACAATGATCTGGCTTCACATCAGCCCAAACTTAATAGTTTTCGAGATTTTTGCAAGCAATGACAAAGGTATAGCGCAATTTTCATGTAAATTCTATATACATTGCAGAAACCGTTTATGCTTATGGCTTCAGCAGCAAGAAAGCCACCCTCTAATACTAACTCTCACACTCACATTTTAGCTATTTAAACCAAACGCGGTCACAAATATGCATAAAAATGATGATCATCCGGCTTCCCATCAGCCCAAACTTACTGGTTTTCAAAATTTTTGCAAGCAATAACTAAGCTATAACGCAAGTTTACGTGTGAATTCTTGCTACGTTCCACATTGCAGCAAAAAAACCACCCACCAACTCTATCTCTCTCACGCACATGGCTCAAATCAACAACTGTACCTTCCATGAAGCGTCCTACACTTGGATACAACTCCCCGGTATAGATCCGATGAGGAATTGTATGTCAAGACAACCCGACTTCCCCGGAATCCGGTGAAAATGTCATGTAAGAAATGAAACTCCAAAAAATTGTACAACAAATTCATACATAACAACAGCATTGCTAGAAAATAATGCCATATAGGGATTGCAATGGCCGCTTTGAAAAGAAGCTTGTACGCAATAGCCGGCGTTTCAGCAATTTGTTCAGAACAATCCATGGCGGAAAAAGTAAGAAATTGGGTATGAAAAGTTGAAGAAATTCAAGAGGGGAAGAATTGGTGGATGAATTTAATACTTGGTTCGGTGAGATGGGTCTGAAGAGGGTAGCAAATATCAATGGTGATGGTTAAAATGCGTAGGAGTGGTTACGTGTTCGGTGAAATAATACTCATCCGAGATGTTGGTCAGCGGCTTCGTAGAGTAATATAAAAATCATATTATAAATTGTCACGTATAGTATTCATGATCCATGATAGTCCTTACTATAAGTAACATGACCTTTTAGATTGTAACATAATTTGACAGCTGATATGCTTCGGTGGCCGCCCCAGTTCCAACTGAGCGCCCGCTCAAGCTAAGTCGGGTAAAAAATTATAATTTTCTAATATAATTTCAATTCTTATGAAAACAAATCTTCGGACGTCTTTTAAAAATTTAGTGTCGTCCAGAAGTAGTAACCATGCATTACAACAAATTCTAAGAGATTTTGGGAGCATAAAAAGGAGGCAAGAACATGAAGATCGATTCCAAAACTCGAAGATTCAATTCAGGATTTATTTGGGTGATATCGATTCTTCAATATTTCTTTTGTTTTCTTTCGCATAACATGATAGACTAGTTTTCTTTGTACTAGGAGAATGATTAAACTGTAATAAGAATTTTTAATTTTTAGTTTTACATACTAACATTAAAAACACGTTATTAAATATTTAATGATTTATATGCTTTTCTTTTCTCCACAATTATTGTGCACGGTAGTTGTGTGGGTGTGATTGTCTATTTTATGCTTTCAAAAGAAGGGAAATATGTTCGACGTATATAAATTGTCATAAGATCCGATAGAAGAAAAAAATATATTGATATGCTCTATGTGAATTTTCAAGTGTTCATAAAAATTCATACACTTTTAAAGGTTCGCATCCGTCATAAAAATATAATGAAATTATATATGAGAGTAGATTTAACATTACTCGAAAGAAATTGTTAAATAGAATATGAACATTGATTCGTCAAAATTCAATCGTGATGTCAAAGTGTAGAACAACGGTTAAAAATGATTATTGTATGAAAATTCGGGATCCTAGTGTGTTTATTAGTTATTAAATACATCAATTTGCATTTAGTATAATTTGTATTTAGTTTAGTTAATTTACTTATAATTACATAAGTAGATTAATTTATTCATAATTTTATCTAGGGCTGTCTGTGGGTCGGTTCGGTTCTGAAGAGAAGAGAATCGAACCGATCCAAAACTTTCGGGTATTTAATAAATGGAACCGTCGGGTCCAAATATAATTATGGAACCGTTCGGGTTCGATTCGGTTCCATTCAATTCCGTACCATAATTAATTTTTTTAATATTTATAGCAATACTACATAAATACAACTAATGATATTTCATTTATAATTTTTACAAATTAACGCAACTCAATTCAAAAACATATAAATAACTAGCCGTTCAATAAAATTAATTCAATGTATACAAATACCAAAAAGTAGATATTAATATTATAGCAACACTACATAAAATAAATTCATTTGCTTCAAGCAGCTTGCCTGCATAAAGAAAATGAAATATAAATTAAAAGTTATAAAAATAAAATATTTTTAAGTATTGGTAATACTTACCAACTATTTGATTTAATCATTTTAAGGCTTTAAATTTAATGAGCAAATTCGAATAGTCATGTAGTCATGAGCAAATTAAAATGAGCTAATGGGCTTTAAAAATGATTTGAGGTTTAAANATTCAATATAAAAAATAAAGAAAAATTTATTAGTTTCGGTTCTTATTTGGTTCTTGGTCTAGACCCGACCCAAATCCATCGATTCTCGATTCGGGTACCCGTTCGGGTATTTAACTTATGAAGAACCGCTTGATTCGGTTCGAGACTTTTGGACACTCCTAATTTTGTCATAACAAACACATCATATTATTCTTGTTTCGGTTAATGTTGCGATAATTAAAATTGAACTAATCAATATCTGTGAGACGATATTTGATCTCAAAATCCACTTCATTACTTGTTAACAAATAGTACACTTGCAGTAGTTTTAATTCGAAATGAATTTTTGTGAATAAGTTTTCAGCACCGCTATTGAAGATTGAGTTTTAGTTTGATTTTAATTACCAAGCACTAGTTCGGATTTCTACATGTATTCTTGTATTATTATTTTTGTTCCATTTTAGTTGTTTTTTTCTTTCCTTTACTCTCTTTTTCAGGATATATAGAAGGACAAAAATAGTTAGAATAAAAGATTACTACAGTTGATTTCAACAAAATGCTTGTAGGTGACTTTATCATAAAACAACAACAATCGGTAGCTCAAGAAATTGACGAGGGAGATATACTTGTGGGAGATTTCATTATAGGGCAACGACTACGAGATATAAAAGTAGAATGTGAACTTAATGAAATTGTCCTAGGTAACTTGCCCGTTGCATTATTTCTCTCACCGCAATTTGATGTGGGTGATTAGCTTATAGGATTATTTCTTCCACCAATTATTAATGGACATCAATTAAGGTAATCATGTCAACTAGGATTCTTACAAATAAAATAAGAGGGGAAGACTCTCCATGAAGATATCGTTGTTTCTTTGTCAAAAGTTTTGAATACGAACATTGAACTCGAGAAAACTTCAATTAAAAAAGATGAGCATGAAAAAAATCGAGAAATTAATCATAACATGCGAAAAAAAACTTGTAGCATTCAAAGAAGAGGAAATTTTAGACTTCATCGTTTGCTCAAAAATGGAGTTTGTTATTAAACCTTATGAGGATATTGAGATGTACATTGTTAAGTTCGAAGCGGATGATGTGAGGAAGTCATACTACTTGGAGAATGGCAAGATTAAAATTTGGAAGAAAGTTGTAATATGGAACAAAGTCAAATTAAAAAGCTAAATAGGACCTCCAAAGCCATATTCAAAGTGCCATGAACCACTAGTGTAAAAGTCGAGCTCTAAACTTTAAATTAAGCGCTTAATGGGAGGCAACACATTTTCCTATCACTTACCTCTTATTTTGATTAAGTATTGCATTACAAGTAGATTTTTTGGGATTGCATTAGTATTTTAGGGCTATATTTAGGAACTCACGCGTTTAAATGGTTTTTTTAAAACACATTTTAGATAGTATTTCAAGACTTGCATCAGTAACATAGGCCTGTTTACTTATTGAGTTCATTTTATTTAGGCCAATCGTTAACATCCTAGCATTACGTTAAGATTACATTGATGTGATATGCATTTTTAAGGTTGCACCTAGATTTCAATCTTCTTAATGTTAGAAGATCAAAATTCTTCTTGGTGTGAATACATTACAAATATTTAAATCTTATTTGCTATCATTAATATTTATTTTGAATTCTTGAAACAGAAAGTTAAAGCCTAGCAACACAAAAAAGTGGTGGTTGTCATGACATCTATCAACCGGACCAGCCTGATCCTTCTACCTATCAGCATCTACCCCTGGGGAGTTTATGATCATTTACTCGTTTATTTTGTTTATATTTGTTCTTACATTGTGAACAATGTAATCTTTTTGTTTGGGGGGTAAGTATTTAGAGAATTAGGATCTTTGTTGCTTGCATTTAAACTGCTTATTAGGTTTGTATAACTAATTTAATCTTAAAAAATTGAAAAAAAAAAAAATCGAAAAACCAAAAATAGTGTCTAATATAACGTTGAACAACTTGCCATCTATGATGATATTTGTTTGAATTGAGTATAGCTTTAGCTAGAATTGACTTGAGTATTTATCCATGTTAGACCTGTTTACTTGAGCACATAGCCATCATTGACTTATCACTTATGTTGGAGCATGACTTGATTATGTGGATTTAATTGTTAATGTGTTGACCTAAGTTTGAAAAAAATCCCCAAATCCCTTATATAGAAATCAAATTGCTAAAAAACAGTTTGGGGGTGAGAAGGTTAGTGCTTGTATATATATATATAAGTTTAATGATTTGGAGTTCTTGGATCAAATCATTGGTTGAAGGAGTTTTGGTTAAGGAGTCTGGAGTGGGCACTACCAATGTTAAAATTCGAATCTTATATCAAAAAAAATGTGACACGTCTTATTTTCTTTTCGTAGCATTTATGACTCGAATTATTAAGCCTGTTGGGGCCTATGATTATCTGAATTGAGAGTCATCAGCCTAAAGCTCGCTACGAGAGTCATTTAAAAAATTTAATGGAGAGAAGTCTTGCACATAAGATGTCAAAAAAGGGGTAACTACCAAAATATATATTCATAACGAAAGAAATAAAAAGGGATTTAGATTATCAAAACTAAGAGGTGCTCGATAAAGATTTTGAAATATAAATTCTAGAGACTGACGGTGTGACTTTGAGAAATTCTTACTATCTCTCTTCTAAATTTACAAGTATATAATTATGATCACTTTGTGTGGAAAAAATGCAGTTTAATGATTATTAAGAACCGACATGTGCGAAAAATACCTCGAGATTGGGGAGAAAAGCATAAGGGGTGATTTTACACGAGAGGTGTGAGGAAAAACTGACCACACAAGGATTTGGATTATGATTAAATCAACAACACTTAATTGGTTGTATTCTAGTACGGGTACGAGTTCAATATTGGCTAATCACACATGCACTAAGTCGAGCATCGAATAAGTAAAAATTTATTTTTGATATCTTTTGGATCTTTCTAAAGTGCTGTTTAATTTTGAACCTGGGGCATATGGTAAGCCGTTTAACGTTGAAGTTGTTATTGGATATTTTTTTAGGTTAGTGTTATGGTATATTTCCTAAAATCTGTTGTGTTTTGTTTTGTTCGAGGACAAACAAAGGTTTTAGTTTGGGGGTGTTTGATGAGTGCATTTTTGTGCACTTATTATAGCCATATTACTACGTTTTTGTATAGTTTTAGTATTGAATTGTACTTAGTTTAGGTTAATTTTTTCTTATTTCAACTTTGGACTCGTTTCAAAGCAATTAGAAAAGAAAGAATGATCAATTGGCCACTGAATTGAAGTTTGGGGACTAATATGTATTTGAGTTAAAGTTGAAACACTAAATTTGAAGTGTACGGTTCGTTAACAAGTAATAATACAAATTTTGAGTCCAAATATTGTCTCACGGAGATCGATTAGTTTAATTTTAATTATCGCGATCTTAACCGAAACAAGAATAATATGATGTGTTTATTATGACAAAATTATGAATAAATTAATCTACTTATATAATTATGAGTAAATTAACTAAACTAAATACAAATTATACTAAATGCAATTGATGTGTTTAATTAATGATAAACATAGTAGGATCCCGAATTCTCATGCAATAATCATTTTTAACCTTAGTTCTACACTTTGACAATACGAATGAATTTTGACGAAACAATGTTCCTATTCTATTTAACAATCTCTTTCGAGTAATGTTAAATATACTCTTATATATGACCCGACTATATTTTTATGATGAAAGAGAACAACAAAAATGCGTGAATTTTTATGAACACTTAAAGATTCACGTAGAGTATAACGATATATTTCTATCATCTATCGGATCTTATGACAATTTATATACGTTGAACTTATTTTCCTTCTTTCAAATGCATAAAATAGACTACCACATTCATACAACTATTGTGCACAATAATTGTTGGGAAAATAAAATCATATAAATCATTCATTTTTCAATGTCAAGTATGTAAAACTAAAAATTCTTATTGCAAGTTCATCATTCTCCTAACAAAAAAAAAAACTAGTTTAACATGTTATGAGAAAGAAAACAAAAGAAATATTAAAGAATCGACATCACCTAAATAAAGCTTGAATTGGATTTTCGAGTCTTGGTATCAATCTTCGTGTTTCTTACCTCCTTTTATGCTCCCAAAATCTCTTAAAATGTGTTATAATGCTTGGTTACTACTTCTGGACGGCCTAGGTCTTTAAAAGACGTCCCAAGATATTTTTCCATTAGAATTGGAATCATATTAGGAAATCAGAATTTTTTCCCAAGCTTAACCTAAGTGGGCGCCCAGTAAGTAATGGGACAACCGTCCAGCATATCAAACAACCCTTGTAATTTAAGTTTAAAGTCGGGCGGCTGCCTGACCAATCTAACTAGGCGGCGGCCTAGTTATAAAAACTCCACAAAATTTCTTTTTAGCCCTTTTTTCATTCTTTTTTTCATTTTGGTCCTCCACAACAAATTACTTCTACTTTTAGTGCTTTAACTTTTACTTAAATGCATATTAGTGCTTAAACTTCCATCCATTGGCCAATTAATCATTTTTCTTTTCCAATTGCTTAGAAATGAGTCCAAAACTGAAGACAAAATTAACGTAAGTTAAGTAAAATTCAATACTAAAACAACACAAAAGTTTGGTAATATGGCCCTAACAAGTGCACAATAATGCACTTATGAATAGCCCACTTGTGATGGTCGCACGTTTTATTGAACAAAATCACTTTCAATTTGAGATTCTGATTAGCTACACACTTTCATTATCGTTTAGTCACCATTGAATCGCCATCAACACACCAACATAATTGCCACCTCATTATACTAAGGGATCGTTGGCATCTAAATATCCTTAAACATAATTTTATGAATAATGTTATTTATAGTGAAAACTATCGATAGTCGTCTTACATGACTTACACGCGACAATTTGTTATTTGATGTATGAAACAATAAAAAAAATACCACATTAATGCATCAAATAACAAATTGTCATGTATAAGCCACGTATGACAACTATCGATAATCTTCACTATAAATAGCACTATTCTAGTTTTATCCTTATTTTCAATAACAAAAATGTAAAATACTTGAGTTTCTAAAGTAAGTATTAAAGCATGCCCTGAATATGGATTAAAAGTAATTTTCCACTCTTTGAATAAAATATATACCATCATGTAAATATCACTACTTCTAATTGTAATCATCGTGATCATTCTTTTCATACTATATATGTTATTATCGTCACTATTTTGTACCTCATAACATCACAAGGTTATCATATAATTATTGGAACACCATACTCGTAAATGTCTAATAGTTATTTGTCACCATTGTGGGCTTTTAGTGGTTCTTTTACACTATTGGGCTAGTGTTATTTGTGACATTTGTATTATTGCTTATTATTTACTTAGCTGCTTAAGTGTCACCTACTTATTGGTAGCTTGATTGTCACTTGGATTGTGCTAGTTTAGAATTAATTGTGGCCTTGGATGAGATCGATGGTTGATGTTTATTCTTGTCAGATATTTGTCTCTTGGGCTCCCTTGAGAAACTAGGGACGGGACTTCACTTACACATTCTAGACTATACCATTTTCTTTCTTCCTTCTGGGTCTCTCTCGTGAAGTCTGTCGTCTCCTTCTCTTGGGTGATTTAGGGGTTAATATTCGATGTATCCAGGCTTGGAATATTGGTTGGTTTCGATGGAGTTTTCCTTTCTAAATCTGTAGCTAAGACTCTTGTGTTTTGGGAGATCGTTCTCGATTGATGACCAGAAACTTAACCTGTGCGTTCTCTGTTGTTCTCTCTCTCTCTCTCTGGATGGCGATTTGCAGTGCGTGGAAGGGCTGTTCTTGAGCCTATATTTTCGGCCGATAGAAGGGAAGAAGCTCTCGGTTTCTTTGTCTTTTAGGTTCTCTGTTTTTCTGTTATGTCTTGAAATGTTTATTTGCATTGTGAGTGTAAGACTATAACTATGATTTCACAACAATCATCTCTATACCTTATAGGACCGTCCTCTTTTTATTCCACAGACATTGTGTATTGGGTAACTATTCAACCATGAATAAGTTGAATAAGTTGATATTTTTTGACTAAAAGTTTTCATGTTGTGGCCTAAACGGAAAACCAATACTCATATAACACTTTACATGATCGTTATTAAGTTGATATCCTAAAATACCCAAGTTTTTGCAAAAGAAAAAATTATAATAATAGAATTATCATGAAGTTGATCTTATCGTTGTTATTAGTTTTATAAACCATTTTTTTAATTTTATTCTATCGACATGCATAACACCGAGATCAATCTACTACTCATATTTGACTAAAGATGTCCAAGTTTTATTACAAAAAGAAAAAAACAGAGGAAAATATAATTTCTATCTTTAAGTAATTATTGGGTTCACCACATTGGTTACGTCAGTAGAGGGAGTCCATAACTTGCTAATTATTGGGTATCACATTGAATACAATAGTGGAGGGAATTCATACCTTTGATCCCCCATTCCACACCATGGTCCAAATGTTACAAAATCACACATTACGTAACATCTTTGGCAAAAAAATGCTGAAGTATTTGGTCCAAAGGGATAAAAAATAGAGGAAAATAAAAAAAACAAACAATTCTGCTACAAGTACATCGAGAATACATAAGATGTCCATAATAGACACCCGACACCTCCCTATTGGATGAAGTGCCGGTGGGGACACAACTTCATTCAATAGGGGAGTGTCGAGTGTCCATTATGGACACCCTTATATACCCCCGATGTACAAGAAGAATAATCCAACAAAAAAAAAAACCCATCAAATTAGGTAAAAAGAGAAAAACAAAATTAGTTAATTACATTACATTGATACATCAATGAAATTCTCTAACGAAACATATGTAGTTGATGTAGTTGCCACCACGCCCACGACAGATTCTCATATGTTACTACCCGCGAAGAAAAACCATGCCATTATAGTAACATTGTACTTAATGCCACATTGTCATCCTTCCAGTCTCATAGAAAGTTATCCTTATATTGTACCAACATTGTATATTATGCATTAACTAATATCATAGACTGAAAGTGCATCAAGTTTTGGCCTAAGAAAAGGTATTATCATAAAATCATACTACCATCTCACTTTTGATTTTATCCTATTGACATTGTATACATTGTTTGTTGTGATTTTTAATAAGAGTAATTTACGATCGTTAACTAAGAAATGTCTCTTAGTTCAAAAAGGAAATCAAAAGAAGAAAATATCATGTACGGTCTTTTACAATTATTGGGGTCAATAAATTAGTAGTGGGAACCCATATCTTGCTCCCCAATTCCGTTCGAAGGTCCAAACATTACAAAATCACTCTTATTATAGATAAGTTGATGTCCTTGGCTAAAAAATGCCGAAGTTTTGGTCGAAAGGGGAATAAAAGGAAAGGATTATCACAATACCCAAAAACAAGGTAGGAGAAGAAAAACAAACTAGCTAGCTTAGGATACATTGATATTTCAATGAAATCCTCTGGCGCTCATGGCCTCTGCTGGTGAAACATCGGAAGGTAAAGATGTAAGTAGGGTGAGTGCAAATATCCCGCTAGCCGCAGCTGCCACGGCACCCACAACGAATGCCGGTAAGTTACCGTCTCCAAACAAGGCATCCCACGGTCCACTTAGCACCGATACCACCATCTATTACATTAGTAATGTATTCTCATTAATACACATCATGGTAAAACAATTAAAGAAAGCTCGATACTAATAGATTATTAATCCTTACCTGTGGTACAACTATAGCAAGATTTAGAACTCCGAGTGACAGACCTGAAAGTAAATTATGACAATCAATGTTAACAACTACAAACTAAATCTTATTTTCTATAATATGTAATTCTTTTTTCGATAACAGGAGTAAAAAACTCAAATAACCTCAACACAGTTTCAACATTTACCTTGTCCTGCCCCAGAATCACTAGAAAATATAGACGCTAGAGCAAATGGGATGCTGAAAGTCACCTATATAGAAACGAAAGAAATGTAATCTCACCAATATATACACTGATCATCAGTATATATGATTCAATCAAAGGTTTCAGTTCAAAAGCAACACAAATAGCATTAAGGACTCCACTGGGGATAAACCTTAACTAATTGAGGTTAGCAATTAATATAGGTATTTCCCATGTGCCCTTCAAGCAACAAAGTGAAGTGTTCGACCAACAAGCGACTCAAAAAGTTGAGCAACGCCAACACTAGCCATTCCTTTAAGCCCACTGTCCTATATGTATGATTTTGAACTGGGCATTCAATGCATTCTGATCAGTGTACCAAAAGGTTGCTCAGAAATTTAAGTGGAAAGAACAAAATTAACCGACCTTTCTCTTTTGGTTGCTAGCAAAAAAGTCAAATTTGGTAATTAATATTTCCTTTCATTTTTTTAAGAAGACTACCAAATTATGAAATAAATAAGTTAGGTGCCCATGTACGCAAGAATACAAGAAGATTAAATTTTCCTAATGCATGAAAAAAAATAACCAAAATATCACCTCCGTTTGGTAGGAATTAAAATTTAGATTTTAATCTAAATCAAAGTCAACAACTAATTTTAACTACATATTTTATGAGTCTCATAGCTTCTATCAAAATTTACTAAAAATCTGATTTTAATTTCTACCATGTTAAGGAATAAAGTCTCACATCGAATAAAGATGAAGACACATACCAATTTATAAAAGTTTGAGCTACTTCTCTTAATAAGGTTAACATTTTAAAATAAAACCACAAATCTTAACATGGTATCAGAACCTGTTAAACTCCAACGAGCAATTCGATCCAATTAAGACTTAAAAAAAAAATTGAGTACACGGATTTCAAGATTGGTCTGGTCAAACGAGCCACCATCTTATAGGGTTTGTTAAGGGATAAAATTCTATATCGAATAAAGATGAAAATATAGACTAATTTATAAGAATTTAAGTTACTCTTAATAATGTAAACTTTTTAAAATGGAACCAAAATTCTGAACTAACTAAACATGGGAATTATGCTTAAAATTTACACTTGTGCAATTGAAGCAAGTTTAACGAGAGGAGAAAAAGAGAACTCACCGCTTGAGGAATGCCAAGAATAGCAAAGAGGGCCAAAGCACCGACCTTGACGCCAGTGGCCGGTGGTGGATTAGCATCACCATTGTGGATGGCATGTCGGCGTGTAGACTGCGCCAATTTGGTGATCAAGACGGTCATGGCCAAGCAAATGGCTAACAAGAAGTTGGCAACACCCCAAAGCCGCTTCACCCCACCGAGTCCACGTGCCAATAACTCAAGAGCGAGGGAGGCGCACCCCAACACCACAGCACTCAGCATCAGCCCGAGTGCCCCTGCACGTACGCCACGGTCGTACAACTTCCCTACCCCCACCTGCCCTCCGTACACCTCCTTCCCCATCCAATCAGTGTCGAACAACAAGAACGGGAACCAAGCAATCCAATTTAAACAAGTCACCAAGAGCAAAATCCTCATGGGCCTAGGTAAGCCCTTCAATGCACCAAATAACTCCCCCAAAACTGGTATTTTCCTCTTCTTAACCACCCCATGACCTATGTTTTCTGGTGGCTCGGCCTGTGAAGGGACAACGGCCGTTTCACGCACAATAGTCAAAGCCAATATTGTTAGAGTCAACAGGAGAAATATTGAGAGGAAAAAACAGCTCTTGAGATTTGCACAATACACATCACAGGCTTTTGTTTTGGTAAAAGGAAATATTTTGAACAAGTGAGTGTATGATCCAGCTGCATAACCAAGCACATTCCCCACCGCCATGAAGAAAGAAAAAAAAGAATTTGCAGTCCTCATTTTCTGAGCATTTCCACCAGAAAGATCAGCCAACAGGGCTCTGCAAGGTCCCTGCGAAAAAAAAAATTAATAATTAATAAACAGAGCAAAATAATTGACAAAATTATTCTTATTTTTTCTTATATTCTACATTTCAATACATTCCTTGTTTCAGCTGAACTTTCCACATTAACCCATTACTGGATTGTTACTTTCTCAGTGAACAAATAAAATATATAATAAGATTTTTTTTCAACAAAAAAGCACAAAGCAATAAAAAGTGCCACAAAAAGTTAAATTCCAATACAAATTTACTAACCCACTGTCTTCTCAAATTGATTGAAACACAAATAAAAGGAAAATTATATCCAATTTTTTTTTTTTTTTAATAAATATTGGGAATTAAACCCGCATGCAAAAATTTTGTGTACTGATAATCAGATAGCATATGGAGTTGAAATTTCTATGTAATCGGGTGTATGATTTACCTGTAACGTGTTGTTGGCTACGTCAAGGATCCAAAATCCGACGACAAACACAGAAATGGCACGGGGCTTCACCGTCTTGCCGTCGTTGCCCAGGGGGTCCCCGGAGGCATGACCAATATCCGCGGCGAACCCAATTAGGAAAACGGCGACAGCGACAAGTGCGGCACCGGCGGCGATAAAGGGGCGGCGCCGCCCAAAGCGGGAGGAGCAATTGTCACTGTAGTAGCCAACAATCGGCTGCACGAACAAGCCGGAGACTGGCCCACACAGCCAGATGAAGGCAGCCCAGGTATGGGGAATACCCAGAAGCTGCACATACGGAGTCAACAAAGAGAGCTGAAGTGCCCACCCGAATTGCACCCCCGCTGCTATGGCCGCCACCGGAATGAGTTTTCGCAGCGGCTCTTGCGGTGGCGTAAGTGGAGGTTCTGGCACAATAGTACTCAATTTGCTTCCATCAACCTCCATGGATATATAATTTAACTCTTCACTCTCTCACTTTAGAAATTGTGTAGTATAGATTTCTCTCACTATATGTATATGCAGTGAATTTACATGAAAATAGTATGAATTTTGAGAGAGCATAGGGCGGGTATTTATAAGGGCGTTTGCATGGAGTTTTTATGCGTAAATGCTATGGGATAAAGCTAAAAGGTGGGAGTTAATGAATTTGGAGAAAAAATCCGAAGTTTAGCTACCTAAAATAATTATCACAACTGAAAAAATTGCAAAGGAAGTCCTCAACCTAATTCTGACTTTTTATTTTATTTTATGACATTTATAGTTTAACTTCATATTTTTAGCACCTTAATCCAAATTTTAAGGTGTGTTTGAGCCACATTATTTTGGAAGAATGTATTTTGGAATAGTAGATTGATGGAGAATGTGTGGTTGAAAATGAGTAGAAAAATGCGAATGAAAATTTTAATGTAACTCAAACAAGGACTTAATTTAAAACACAATTCAAATAAAGATGAAGGACGGAAGAACAATCATAGGTTAAGAAAAGGAGTTAGATGGCGGTGGAAAGCAAACCATATCGCAAGGAAAAGAAGCTAGCGATGGCAAGGTGAGGGAAATCGAGAAAGTCGAGCAATTGCGGGTTGTCAACCAGGGTTGGAATGAGGGTTCGTCACTTTGCGATGGAGGGAGGTGATGGTCAATGGGTCCTAGGTCCCATTGGAATTCGACTTCTTTTTTTTTTATATAAAATAATTTTTTATTTTAACTATTTCCTGTTAATAGTATCCCTTGTTTGGCCCCCATTGAATTTTAATTCATTTTTTTCATTCTTATTTTTAACCAAACAATCTTTCAACAAAAAATATTATACGTAAATCGACATTTTTCTTTCTTTTTCAACCATACATTTAAAAAAAATACTTTCAAAAATTTTATTTCATATAATGGGAGCCAAACGAGGGCGTAATTTTTTAGTGCAATAGCGTATCACTGTGTATAGTTTGTTAGGAAAATATAAAATGAAATTAGGAATATTGCTGGAATTATAAAATAATGGAAAAAAAACGTTACAATAAACAGAGTAACAATAAAATAAAGGAAATCTGGTTATTATTATAATAGTGGTATTGGAAAGAACTGATGTATGTGTTGCACACACTTTCCTTAAAATATATTTGCCCCCAACTATGGTGCAATAAGATTGATTGCGTTTTCCTTTTAGGATATAATGGTTGAAAGTAGCTAACTAGCACCTCATCACTACTTTGGCGAATTGAGAATGCTCACAATACTATCATCAATCTAGAAAATAATTATCTAAACTACGAAGAACAAAACTTTTGAAAGTAAAGAGAGGAGAAAAAAATTAGAGAGATGAGATAACTTTCAAAGTTTTTAGTGTGATGAATAAGGAGGATAACACCTCATTATATAGTACTAGGATGAGGAGGTTTCAATTCTGCTATATATGTGGCTCATACAGAGTAGAATAGAGGATTTATTGGGTCAAAATGGTTGATGCCGGAATGGAGCGGAGTGGATTGAAGTGAGAGGAGTGGAGCGATGGCATTGGCCTTGTGAGTTTAATTCACTGTTTGTTTGTCAGGGACGTTGAATAGGTTGGGGTGCGGGGGCAACGTCCTCGCGGTACGGTATAAGTGAATTTTTATTATATGGGCCATAAAATCTTGTATGTGCTTGAGTTAGGGTTTGTATAAATACTGATGATATAATCCTATTATTCATACTGAATAAAAATCTCAATTTCGCTCCTTGTGGACGTATGCACATCACCGAATCACGTTAAATACTTATGTTGATTTCTCTATTTCACTTCTCTATTATTTTGCGTTCAACATCTAACACATTGGTATCAGAGCTTTAGGTCTAGAAGGTAAGGTTTTCGATTGCAAAATTCAACTTGATGAAGTTCGACGAAATTAGGAATTTTGGATTATGGCAGCGAAGGATGAAGGATTTCTTAGAGCAATAAGGGATGGTGAATGCGCTATTTGGGAAGAAGTCAAAGGGCATGTCAAATGCCGATTGGGAAGAGCTCGATGCTCGAGCATTTGGTACAATTCTGCTATATTTGGCAGACGATATCATGTATTACGTCATGGACATTGAGTCTCCAGCGGAGGTTTGACTGAAATTAGAGAGTCATTATATGTCTAAATCTCTCATGAACAAACTACATCTGAAGGAGCGGTTGTACGAGCTCAAAATGTTGGAGGGTACAGATATGATTAAACGCACAAATGTGTTTAATCAAATTATCAGCAATTTGTTGCGACTTGAAATCAAGTTCGATGACGAATATAAGGCAATGATATTGTTGTGCTCTCTTTCTCTCTCGTATGACTACCTGGTGACCATGTTGACGTGGGGTAAAGAGACTCTCGAAATGGAGGAAGTCACATTAGCCCTATTGGCCTACGACGAGCGAAAACTGCGTACTGACGAAAGTTTACAAAGTGAAGGGTAGATCGTGAAGGACTACTAGGATCGTGGGAGAAAGAAGGACATGGGTGTTTCTTACAAAGGGAATACAAGATCGAAATCCAGAAATCAAAATAAGAAAAACGTCAATTGCTACAAGTGTTATCAGATGGATCACTTTAAAGGGGACTGTCTGAATAAGGAGCAAGGTGATGAAAGAAAATGTGATGGGTCCTCAAACTAGGCTAGTGTTGTAGAATGAGACTCGGATTTTGGAGGATGGAGACATTCTGACAGATTACATGACTCTTAGGTACTTGATTCAGCTTGTTTATATTACATGCGTCCTCATCGGGATTGGATTGATTCATATTGTTTGGGTAATTTTGGATATGTTATGATGGGTAATGATACATCATGTAAGGTCATTGGAATGTGATCTATAAAATTTAAAATATTCGATGGTGTGGTGAGAATTTTGGAGGATGTTAGGCATGTACCAGAATTGAAAAAGAACATAATTCCCTTAGGCACTTTAGACTAGATGTGTAAAAACAGGCGGTTCGGGCCGGGTCGGACCGCAAGGAAAGAAGCCCGGTCTCGGACCGGCTAAAAATTAACCGGCCCAGCCGGGCTTCCCGGCCCGAACCGCTGCATGGCTCGTAGGCCCGCATGGGCCCGTCAGCCCGCACGTCGTTTTTTTCCCCCCAAAAAATAACGGTAAAAAGAATTATAGTGAAAATCGATAAGAGTTACGTAAAAATAAATTTTACATTGATTTATTTTTCGATAAACTTTACATCAATAAATAAATAACATAAAAACTTACAATTGTTCGAACAATATTTTGCCTAACTTGACAAATTACACAGTTTTGAACTATTTATGAACTTATAGTTAAAGTACATCCCAACTAGGTTGCACCGACTTAACTATAATTTCGTCATTACAAATCAGATTTTATTCATCTACGGTAAGATTTTTAAAGTGTTGAGCAATATCGTCAGCAACTTTATCTTGCATTCTTCTATCAGCAAATAACCAGTCTTTTACGCAGATGAGAGCTTCTAAAATATCTTCTTTAAGTTTTGATCTTCTTTCATCTAGTACTCTATTACCTGCACTACAGGCAGACTCCGATGCCACTGTTGAGACTGGAACTGTTAGTAGATCTCGGGCCTTTTTTATAATATTGGATATGACCGTTCATTTACCTTACACCATTGTCAAACATCTAAATTGTCAACCTCATCTTATCGAATTAAACTGTAGTGATCAAATTGATAATATCTTTCTAATTCAACTGGTGTAACATTCTCATTTGAAAATGAATTAGTAGATGAAGTAAAAGACAAATTGCTTTTCTTGACTATTAAAGAAAAGAAATAACTTTTACCTTTAGAATTTGTAGCAGAACTCGTAGTAGAAGAAACATTTTCACTATTACCATATTTCATAGCATAACTATTGTACATTTCATTAATAAAGCATTCTATTTCACGGCTTGTAATATTTATATTGAAAGATAAAGTTTCAGAAAGTTGGTC